TTTGAACAAGAAACTCTCCGAATAATCTTGATCGTTTATTATGACTTGCACGATGACCTCCTAAGGCTTGAAAAGACGAAAATCGTTTATTACAAGTCTTGCATTCAAAATCATTAATGTGAATATGATGTGATGATGAAGAAGTGTTGTTGAAACGAGACCAAAGCATTAAGTTAGCCACGGCCTCTTCTTCAATTTGCATATCATCTTCTCTACTTCTTTTCATGGCTGTCATATTATTGATGAAACTGAAAATGAAGATGTTTTAGTATATTATATAAGTTTGAAAATACGTGAGAAGGTAGAAGTAAGATATAGATGTAAGTTTGTGCGTGACTTTTTTGCGTGTGTGTGAACAAAAGTAGTACTGTACTTATTAAATTAAGAATTTTCGTGTGTGTGTATTCTAAAAGTAAATAAAGGGAGAGTTGGAAATAGACGTGTGTGTGAATATAGGAAATATTTGATGCTAACCTCCAAGAAACAAGAAAAGTAGTTAAAATGTGATTGGTCAATATTAATATGTTGGTTTCTTTGAGGTTTCAACAAAATTTCCAAGAACTTTCTTATACTATCCTCTTTGGACTTCACTTTATGAGATTGTACTGAATTTGTTATTATTCTTATTATATTATAAACCGTTTTTACTTACTATAAAATGAACTAAAAATAATTATTCTCTGTATTCTAATGTTTATAATTCATTTTTCTTTTTAGTTAGTCCCAAAATATATGATAAATTTATATATTTTGTAATAATTTAAATTAAAATATTAATTTTATCTTTATGAAATGATCTATAACCATACAAATATTTATGATTTATTTCAGACCACAACATTTTTTTGTGTTTTCTTTCTTAAATTTCGTGTCAAGTCAAATTATATCACATAAATTAAGATTAAAAATAATGCTATATTATAAGAAAAAATAAATACTAATTTTTTAAATATAACGAACAGTAAAAATTAATCGAATATATGAGTTGATAATGTAATGGCTGCCGTCTGCAAAAAAACGCACGTACATACGTAGCTTAGTGAAAAGGACATATGTGTTTTTAGACAACATGTTAGTAAAAGTTTCTTGGTTGGTGAAAAAAGTACTACTTAGCTTGCACAAATCGTTTTGGATGAATCATGACTCATGAAGGCAAAAGAATATGAATGGTACCGTAGATGAAGTTGTAGTTTTTTTTTTTTTTTTAATTAGAGGTTTTAAATTTGAATTTTAGGTATTAAAATTATTTTGATAGGGAGCGCTACCTTAGAATTATGCCCTATTCGACATGAATACAATTGATCGAATTTCAATGCAGATATCAAAACTTGAATAATTTTGTGATTTTTTTAAATTCAGTTATTGATTTGATTTTCAATTTTATAATTTGATTTATGGTTAAATTGATAATTCAATAAAATTATTTTTAAATTATTATGTATGTGTGTGCGCGAGAGAGTGTTTTGTCCACGTTTTAGTTGTGTTCGTGGCTCCGAATATACCAGGAAAATTTAAATTCATATCTAATGGTTAAATCGATAATCCAAAAAAAAAAAAAAATTAAAATTATTGCAAGTAGGTTTGAGGCATTGGAAATGCTGGTTTGTGATTATATTCGAGTCTTTATCATGCATACTAACTCTTGTTGGTAAATGGTTTCAATAATACATTTGGCATCTCATTTGTTATATAATTGCTTGAATTTCCAGAGCTTCTTTCTTCTTTCTTTAATACATTGTCAAGCACAGTTTTTTGAACATTTCATGTATGGCATTTTATAATGAATTTGTCAAATATTAAATAAAATGAAAAAATTGTAGTTGACTGGTTCTATCCATTGCTTGACAAAGTAGGTATAGAAGTGTAGAACTATGACAACTTAAAAGAAAAGGCACCAAAACAATTGTTCTGAAGCCTTTCTCTAGTCCCAAATGGACAGAATCTCTACTGCTTAATTTAGATTATAATTTTTTGTTGATATAGATAATTCAGAGTTATGATGGATGTGGTTACTGCAATACAGTGACATATTCAAAACGATTACTTGTTGTCTCTAGTGTTAAGCCCATATTTGTTCATGGCTAACATGCGTTTCTGTGATTCACAATTTCGTTAAATATGTTTAGAAGGAAACTAAAGCACACAAAAAAAAGGTGATCCAAGCACAGAAAAATGCCAACCCACAAAATTTTGAATTCACATACCTCAGTAACTTCAAAATGCAAGCAAAGCAGCAACATTAGAACATTCATGTCCCAAATTGTGTAACCAAATGGGAAAAATATATATCCTTATGAAAAAAGAGACACCCAAAATAGGAGGAAACATAAACAACATTTATCCAGATTTCAGGTAAAAGAAAAACACAGGGGTACATATTAACAACATTTATCCATCTTCCACGTCAAAGAAATAACATACTTACTACAATGAACTTGATAAAATGAGACACATCTGTCCATCACTCTTCTTGAAACTTACATACATGCATATCGAAAGAGGAATAACAATATGTTTTAAAATGATCAATAGGAATAAAAGTAAGAATTCAAACTCAATATAGAATGTCAATGACATTAGCCAACTATTGTTTCCAAATTAATTTTGATAACCAGACTAAGGGTTCAGAGCATAGGTGTAGGATTTTGAAGCAAAATTAAGAGATTTTGATAAGCTTTGCCTTGAATGATTTTCTTAACTCTTATCATCTGCAGATTTACACTACAAAGAAGATATTATAAGTAATTATACATTATAAGTAAGCATACAAATGAATAACCTCAATTTACTGACATCTAGGGCAAGTCTACTTCAACTCACTAAGAAAACATGGCTTTTCTTTATTATTTATACAACAATAGAATAAGGACAATTCAAATGCTAGCAAGTACATAAGTTATGCAGAGCCTCCTAAGAAATTAAAAGTTATAAAAAAAATTGAGATTCTATTGCTCAACGTGAAAATGAAGTCTCAATTGTCAAACTAAAGAGATCAAATACAGTATTTGCTACTTAAGTGTTTAGCAAGTGCATAAGTAAATGCTTTCACACTCGAACTCTTCTTCTATGTGTTGTGTGTGCTTTCAAGCAATATGACTTCTTGCTAAATGAATGATTTCTGACAAAGTGCCCCATACCCGCACCAAGGGGTAACTTGAGATAAAGTATAGAAACAGTGCAATTATTTTGACTTGAGTTTTTCTCTCCTCATACGGTCTTGGCTTTAGTAAAGAGAAAAAATCTCTCTATATCCTACTACAGAAAAAATAGTTACTACCCCCGTGTTGGAAAACAAATATACTTATTTAAGCATTAAAAAGCAAAGCAACAATAAGAAATGAAATGGGAGAAGCTATAGTGTAGATCACTTTTCAATTTTTCGATAGTCCAGACTTTGTCAATGGTTCTATCGAGTCTTGCTCTGATTTTTTTCATCTGTCATATGGATCAAATACAGGATCTCTATATGTATGTGCTGAGGAGGTGTATCACCTAGACGAAATATAAATTAAAGTGGAAGATGGTTTAAGGATGAAACAAACTCAAATTCCTAATAATGAAGTGAGTGAAATGAGTTAATGAAATGTAATTTGAAAATCTAGTATTGCCCCGCAACAAGTTTTGAGAGACTCTTCACCTTAGAATTTAAGAGTAATAAATGTTGTATTTGTGTGTATATAGATACACACGTTATCGTCTTATATTTTATGCATAATTGTGTTTTTACATTATTATATATTTTTGAGTAATTTGAGCTTATTACGAGTTTTATGTGTATAGAAAATTTAACAGATATAAAATAAGATATTTTAGCTATAAAAGTAGACAATCTCTAACTATAAAAGTAGTTAAAATCGAATTTAAAAAATATTTTTTCCCGTTATCAATTCATTCTTTGATGGTGTCAAATTTAAATCCCTGAACAGAGTACTTCCACAATTTTTCCAATTCTTCTCTCCATGAGGAGATTTAACAAATTCTCCACTCTTTTTTTCTTTCAAAGTAATAATATTATAAAATTTCAGAAAAAATATATTGTTAATCTTGATATTAATAGATAAGATACATAAATAAAATATATTTAAAAATATAAAATATTCTTCTTATTTGTAATTTTCTTAAAAAGCAACATAAGAAAAAGGCGAGTCATATTTTATCTTTTTCGTGATTTTACGTATGTACATGTGTGCTTTCAGTTTCAACCCTTTATTTCATCAACTATTCACATGAAGGCACTTGGAAGTTTTCTAGATATAAAGCTAAGATTATAAAGTAGAGTCTTTTAATATAAAGTTATTTAATTGATCACTCTTTCCTTTCGATTACTAATACTCTTATTACTATCACCGTCACCATCACCGGCTAAGAAATTAGTAACATAAAATAAGTCTAAAAAAGCATATTTGATTTGTCCTTTTCAGAATGCTACGTATGCACGTGTGATTTTTGCAGCCCTTTATTTCGTCAACCATATAGAAACCTCAAAGAAGCCAACATTTATTTTACTCGTCTTGTCACTTTCAGCCCATATCAAATGACCATCTTTTACAATACACATTTTCTTTGACTCACTTAACAAACAAGGAAAATTAGTACTAAGTAGACATAAATTTGTATAAAATTGAATACATTCGTCTTACGTGATGTCCTATGTGACAATTTTGTATCCTACATGGCGTCTTATGTATATTATCACGTAGAATATGTGTATCTACTTATTTAATTTTATACAAATTTAAGTGTCTACGTGTGCATACCAATGTCAGATGAAATCAAATCAAATGGGCATATTATGCATTCTTATAATTTAATATATATAACTCCAATTACTTTTATGTTTTCACCACACGCAAAAAAGTCAGACACAAGCTTATATATATGTGTGTGAGAAGCAACAACAACTCAAGAGTATCGTATCTATTTCTTCTATCTTCTCATATATATATATTTTCAAATTAATTAGTACACGAAAACATTTTCATTTTAATTCCATCAATAATATGAGTGTCCCTAAAAGAAGCAGAGAAGATGATAGACAAGTGGAAGCAGAAGCCTTAATGCTTTTGTCTCGTTTTAACAACACCGTTTCTACACCATCAGATCATCTTCACATTAACGATTTTGAATGCAAAACTTGCAATAAGCGCTTTCCGTCTTTCCAAGCCTTAGGGGGTCACCGTGCAAGTCATAATAAACGATCAAGATTACTCGGAGAGTTTCTTGTTGAAACAAAGAAGAATAAGTTGCATAAATGCTCTATTTGTGGTGTGGAGTTTTCTTTGGGTCAAGCCTTAGGTGGTCACATGAGGCGTCACCGTGATGAAATTAATAAAACAACAACTCATGAAAAGACGATGATTCCGATTTTGAACAAGTCAAATAGCAGCAAGAGGATATTTTGTTTGGATTTAAACTTAAGCCCTCGTGATGATAATGTTGATTTCAAGTTATGGCCAACAACACCAATTGCATCTCCTGTTTTGAGAATTTTTATTTAAGGATTAGAATTAGTAGTTGTAGTTGATAAATTTGTTAATTCTTTTAGAGTTCTTCATTCAAGAGTAGATATATCATATTCTTCAAATTTCTGTGTCTTCATTCTTGATAAGAGGTCATGGCCTTAATGCGTTTGTCTAAAACATAATCAATATGAATTCCTGGGTGAAAGGAGATCAAAATTATCGACTTCAAGAAAAGACACCAAGGTTGAAAAATTCTTCAAAGTTGTATACGAAGAGGAATTGCAATCGCGCGTTTAGATTGTTGTATCTATATTGACGTAGTTCCGAATAGAACATTCGCTCACATCCTCACTTCTCCATATAATTCCACATACTTTGACTAGGGTACATGACCGAGTTGGTTCGGGTTTTTCAAATATCAAATCAAACTATTTGTGTCAAATTTTTAAATCTATAAACCAAACCAAACCAATAAAACTCGGATTTTTCAACTTCGGATTTTTTCAGGTTTTTCGAATTTTCGGGTTATTCATACAAACATATAATTTACTTGTACTTCAAATATTTCTTTAGTCCTACCAAAATACAACTATCTAAGGTGTTTCTTAAGAAAATAACACAAAATATTATATGAGTAATGATACTAAAATATCCAACAAAAAATAATAATAATGAAATCGCGTAAAACAAATATTGCAAATTAACAAGTCCTAATGAAAATGATCATAATTTAAAAGTACTAAATCAAGTTAAAATAAGTTTAATAAGTATTAGTTACATGACTAAATATTAAAGGAAATTAAAATTAGATTATGTATTTGAATAAACCAATGTAAAACCATAGAACAAATATTTAATATTATTGTCATTCTTAGTGTTGAATTGATTATTATTTTTCCTTTAGTATTAATTTAATTTTGATTTAAGCTTTATTATAATTACCAATATATGTGGATTATAATCTTTATTGAACCATTTAGAATTCCAAGTTTCAAACTTGAAATAATAATATATTAAAAGATAAAATTATATATAATGTCGGGTTGGTTTTTTTTAGTTTAAACCAAACCAACCCAATTATAGTCAGTTTTTTTTTCCAATACCAAACCAAGTCAAACTAACCACAAGTCGGGTTTTTTTTTCTCGATTTGACTCAATTAGCGGTTTGGTTCGATTTTCGGTTCGATTTTGTACCCCTAACTTTGACCATTGAAACCTAATAAATTTGCTATCGCCATATACATATCAATATCCATGTTGATCTAATTAAGTTGCTTTTGTCAATTAGAAATATGTGTTACAATTATGTAGTCTATATATATATATATATATATATATATATATATAAAATGGCCTTAATTAGTATTATTGAATAGGATATGGATTTAACTAGAATTAACTAAACCATTGCTAACTAGGAAATTGATTAGTAGAGTACTAATCCTATCTTGACATGGTTTGTCTGATTGCAAATTAAAGAATTAAAGTAGTTATTTTGCAAATTAATAAGTCATAAAAAATTATCATAATTTAAAAGTACTAAATCATGCAAAAATGATTCTAATAAGTAGTAATTATATTACATGACTAAACATTGAAGAAAAACTAAAATTGGGTTATGTATTTTAATATATTATCTAAATCGATGTAAAATTGAAGAACAAACATTCAGTATTATTGACATTCTTAGTATTTAATTGATTTTTTTGTTATTAACATTCGTATTGATTTGATTTTAATTTGAGCTTATTAGAGTTCGTTACTAATATTTATGAATTATAATATTTATTGGACCATTCAAAATTCTATGTTTCAAACAAGAAATAATATGTTAAAATTATGAAAAATATAAGAAATACTTACAAATTATATTAAAGTAGATACTTTCATGTATAAAAATAAATTTATATATATATATATATATATATATATATATAAAATGTCGAATTGATTTGGTTTTAAGTTAAAACCAAACCAATCCAAGTATTGTTAAAAAAAATTCTATACCAAATCAAGTCAAACCAAATCACTAATCGTATTTTTTTCGATTTTTTATTCGATTTTTTTCACCCCAACTTATCGCAATAGACTAGTAAAAATAACTACACCTTCCAACAACATATTAAAATGCCATCTATTTAGATACATCACAACTTATAACTAAGTTCAAAACATTCCATATCAACTCACACATTCTTATGAAACTTAGGACAAAGTGAAGTAGCATCCTATTTATAGTTTTGAGCATATATAGATTTTACAAGCCAAAAAGACCAAAAAGAAAGGTGCATAAACATATTTTGCCATCATTACTCTATTCAACCAGTAAGTTTGTGAGTTTTCTTCCTGAGTTTGTTGAAGCTGAATATGTATACATTAGTAAGCTAAATATGTATACAATAGCAAAACTATCTAGAACGATGGATGTTAAGGATGCTCGTATCTCGTGGCTTGCATGATAAGAATGTGTCACCTAAACTTAAAGGTAAGTTTTATATTGTAGACATATCCTTATAGATAAATTAATATTTACATTACAAATTTGTACATAAGAAAAACAAATAAATTGTATATCTTTGTCCTAACTAAATTTCCACAATCTCTAACTGCATATATAATTAGTTACAATTAATTAAAACAAAAAAGGTATCAACCCCCTCTTCAACTCATTCCCATATACTCAAATTCAAATCCAAATTCAAACTTCTTTTAGTACTATCTACAAGTTCACCACTCTTGATCAAATTCTCTTCCAATTTAATCTTCTTATTCAGCTCGATTTGATTCAATTCATCGCGATGTTTTCTCATGTGTCCTCCTAACGCTTGTCCAATAGCAAACTCTTTACCACAAATAGAACATTCATGTTTTTTCTTATTAACATGTAATGATTCACCGTTAGTACTCATCATCATGTTGAGCTTGTTCTTGTGACTTGTTGCATGTCCACCAAGTGCTTGAAATGATTCAAATCGTTTCTTACATTTTTTGCACTCATAATAAAGTTTACGTCGTCCTAATAACTCGTTCCTCTTTGCTATATCCACACAATTTGCCATCGCAAAATTCTCCACTGATTCTTCTTCTTTGCTTTTCTTTAACCTCATGTTCATAGTTGCACTAGATGTGCACATACTTTAGTTGCTTTGAATTATATCGCGATAAAACAATAGTCGTCTTATTTTTAACACGTATAATAGAAATATTTTGTGGTGAGTGGATTATTGAGTTACAACTATATATAATGTTCGTTCGTTTTGTTTTCACTAACCAAGTTGAACTAGGATTTGTTGGTCAAAAACAAAGAAATTAAAAGGAATAATTATATGGAAACTGAATCCGAGTAAAGTACTACTAATTAAGTAGACACGGTTATTATATTTTCCTAATTGTAGATGGTTTTATTGTTTTCAGATTTAATTTTTGAATTTGTGTAAATTAATTTAATAGCTTATTTACCTTATTTTATTTCTAAGTAATTAGTTCCAATTATTATGAATAATTATTTGTATAATAATATCCTGCCGTAATACATTAAAGTTTATTTATATTCTTAGTACGCATATAAAAGTTTAATTATTTCCTTCTTTTTTTCAATTCAGTCCAAAGTCCACATAAGGCGTTTGAATGAAAAAGTTAAGTGGTAGTAACTAACATGGACTTCTTTTAAACTAAATAATACTCCATCTTTTTCTTTTTAATGGTCATAATAAGATTTTAGTTAATTCTTTTAAAAAAATTAATTAGGAGTTTAGTTGATTTGCTGTAATTTTTAAAGTGAAACTCCACAGGCAGACATTATTATAGTTGGAAGCTTCAAAATATGAAAATGAAATTTTAACAAATAAAACTCTGTTTGAGTGGATATTGCTATAAAAGACTATCGAAGAAACTAAATCTAAAATTTAGGGTGATTTTATGTGATTTTTAAAGATGTTTTGGATGAATCTAGTTCTTGAATTTAAAAAGAAGATGAAGTCAGTTTTTGTATAGTAATACATATTATTGTAAGCTCATTTCTCCTAGTTTGTCACTCGGGGACGAGTGATGGGTAAATTTGTATCTATTGAAACGGCATATTCCTGTCGTTATGGAAAAGCCAATGGGGAAGAAATTTGGGTCAGAATACTTCTGAGTAGTAACTTGAAAATTCTAGCTTAGGCAAGACTTGAACGAAATCTGAGTCAGGTGAGGTCTAGGGCAATCTGGTAATGGATGGGAGATTTAATTATGACTTTGATCATGTGAATGGATAGACAAGACATTAAGGAGCATGTGCGGCTTTACGAAATCGAATTCGGGCCAGTAGAACTCCCGAAACTGATCTTGGAGTGAAATCGTAGTTTTAGAACGTCCTAATTTGAAAGTAAATTGTGAAATGGGAGCTTGGAACTAAAATTTCGAGCTTCTGTGTCTGTGCAAGTCGTCAGGGCGGGATTAATCCCACCAGGATGGGGCCGCCGTGGCGGGCCAGTTGCGACTTAAGTCAGAGAAAAACCCCAAAAACGTTATTTTCTGCAAAACTTTGTTCTTGAGAGCTAAGGGACGACCAAAAGAAGTTTCATATCAGATTCCCACGATTTCTAGCGCTAAATGTAAGTTAATTACTCCCCTAATCTGTATTTCGATTCTTAGAACTTAGAATCTTGGATAATTATCGTTCGGGGAGGTTTTTGGCCTAAAGTTAATGGTGGGAAAAGGCCTAGTTGAACATTAGGATCATGGGTTTGGTCTTGGGTTAATAATTTTGCTATTATCCGGATAAATTATACCTTGTTTAGTAATCCTTGCATTAATTGCTAGTTTTAGATCAAGAACGAGATGAAAGACTCCGGAAAGGGAAGGCTCACGTGTCTTAGGAGTATTCAGGCTTGATTTTGAGGTAGGTGATAGTTTGATTTCCTGTTGTGTGATATATGCCGGTTAATTGATTCATTGTATGCGTGCATGTATGTGAATGGGAAATGTGAATCAATTTAATGAATTGATTATGTGTGAACAATTACATGCCCTGAACCTATTACTTGATTGTACGA